ATAAGGAGATATTCGGCTTACGATTGTATTCCTTAATCACACGCAAACCTTTTCTCTTTATTTCTGTCCTCTTCTTCCTCCATCCCTTGCGTACTGTGTCCAAAAAGTAAGACCAGTTTTCAATTTAAATCGCGCGGGTAAACCGTACATCATAAATATTTTTTTTTCTAAGTTGGCGGCATTGTGACAGACATCTGTGACAAATTTCATGTCAAAACATTCATTACTTTTTGCTTCACGCTTGGTTTTGTACGACGCTAAAAGTGCATTCGGCGATTTTTACAATGTCTAATTATATTGAGCAAAGAAGTTGCATTAAATTTTGTTTGCGGAATGAAATTTCGGGTGCAGAAACGTTCAGGATGTTGCAGAAAGCCTTCGGGGGACCATGCTTTGTCGGAAAGGAATGTTTACAAGTGGTATAAACAGTTCAAAGAAGGTCGTGAAAGTGTTGAAGACGAAGAGCGTTCCGGACGACCATCAATCTTTACCGATGAACAACACGTCAAGAAAATCGAAGAACTTGTGCTTGCTAATCGTCGAATGACTGTTAGAGACCTTGCTGACGCTGTTGGTATTTCGAAAGGATCTGCCAATACCATTTTGAAAGGTATTTTGGGCCTGAAACGTGTAAAATCTCGACTAGTGCCAAAACATCGATAATGCACCTTCTCACACTGCACTCGTTCTTCGTGACTTTTTCGCCAAAAATTCGATCCATATCGTTCCATAACCACCGTATTCGCCTGATTTAGCACCGTGTGACTTCTGGCTATTCCCGAAACTCAAAAGACCACTGCGGGGAAATCGTTTTGAGACGATAGAAGAGATACAACGTGAATCGCTACGCGCTCTGAAAGCCATCCCGGAAGGCGACTTTAATTCTTGTTTCGAGGACTGGAAAATACGTTGGCATAAGTGTATTGTGTCGGGAGGGGATTACTTTGAAGGCGACGAAATAGATTTGGAAGAATAAATAAATATTTTTTGAAATAAATAAAAACTGGTCTTACTTTTTGGACACAGTAGTATTTCTGTGTTCTATTATACATTCCTTCCTGCGTTACCATATTAATTGAAGCTTGTCTCTGCATTACTTCCTAATTACGTGTCCCTTGACGCCATAACCCTCTATTTCCTATGCACTCTTTCCACTCTGAATCCTGCCTTTTCACCTAACGTGTTGTCAATATATTTTGATCGATTAATGTCCAATGCTGTCTGTCTGTTCTGGGACACACTTTTCTGAGGGACAACGTCCTCCCTTTATATTTAGTTCTCGCGGTAAAATTCATAAATAGTTGATGGCATCGAGCGTCGAACAAACAGACTTCAGGAGCCTGTCATGTAGACAATAAAAGCTCGTTAAACTTCGGCTCTTATTCTCTTTTATCGACAAAACTGTCTCTAGTGTGGTTTATGAGCCTTCTGATTGGCTTTCAGTCATATTCAAGGGCGGTTTTACGGAGTAGTAAGAAGTGTTTAGAATAAAGGCCCAACTCTTTCGACGCCGATCGATGGCTCAAGGAATCTCAAGATGAGATTCTTTCCCTCGGAGGTGACGCTCGCGCCGATCTCCCACCTACCTCTCATGTTCACGGGTGAAGCTTCTCTTCTTCTTTTTCCCTCCTCACGAAAGTGTACCGACGGTGACGCGTTCGGGAACTCCACACGTGGCACGCCGCGACAATAGAAAGTCACAGAGAGACGCTCCGCCGACACTAAGACCCGGAAGGAACTCGGATGACGATGAATGACCCACATCCGGTGAGCCAACCGTGAAAGAGTAGATGGTGCCGCGACTTATATGGCCGATTGCCGAACGCGGCCCGTAAGATCGAGTAGAAACTCGACGAGAAGAAGAGCTATTATGAATCGTGCTCCTGACGTCGATTTCGAAGAACGCCGCACGAAACGTACTTTCCAACGTAATGAAACTCGCGACCGTTCATTAGCGTATTCAGCGACGCGCGTATCCATCGCGCGGGCACCTAAAAATATTTTGCTAATTCAGTTAGAATTTTACATGTTGCGGTCAAAATTGATCGCTGTATCTGCTCAAAAATTGTCTCTCTTTCCCTCTTTGTATGTGTGTGTATGTATAGTGCGTAGAACTTACAGCGATGTTTGCAAGCAAATTTAAATAAAAGTGAGAATTATTCATTAGTTTCATTTATTAGTTTCTCGCCGCTAGTCTTTTTTGTTTGCCACATTTAACTTTGCGACTGGTTTTGATCTAGACTGGCATCACGGGGAAAGACTGTGATTAAATTTCACAAAGCAGATAGAAATTCAGATAGAAATTCCCTCTCTGTCATCTACACTGATTAAATACAGAGCGATATGCGATATCGCAGTTATTTGTCCATTTTAGTTAATTTCTCATATAATTTTCGCCATGACAGCAAGGTTATTTTTTTGAGCGTGGATAATACTCGCGGTCGATGATACTCGTCGTGTGGTCGGAACGCAATGCGAATTGGAATTTTATATTAAGAAATTATTACCTCCATCCCTGTGATCGCCTCGACTTTCTCTACCGACTCTCTTAGGCGCTAGAAAGTCTCTCAGTTACAACTGAAGGGCTCAACGTGGCAACGACGTAACCCACTTTTTCGTAGCTTCACAAGTTCATTCCTCCTTTCCTCTTTTTTTTTTGTCGAAGTTTCGTTGCAGCCGAGGAAATGAAGTTTATATCTGTATTCTCTCTGAGTTGAATTTGTGAAAAAGCGAACGGGGCCGCTCTCTGTCGCGCTCATCCCCACGATTGTAACCCGATCGTCACTGTATTCCGCAAATTGAAGGGCGCGAGTTTATTTTTTTAAATCGGATCAATCTTCCTTTATCGCGCTTACTCATCATCGCTGCATTTATCTTCGGACGATTAAATGCTATAGATATAAGTTCGACGAAACGTGGGTAAATATTCACGAAAACTTTCCCGCACGATTGCTGTTTCATTCGGACAGATTTTGATTCGAAGCGCGACATCCGCGATATTTTCGTTCAGCGAGATTAAAAGTGTCCATTTCTTCCGCGTCTATCCGCGTGTAGTCGTGTATTTTCAATTGCGGTTGCATGAAATAACAAAAGAGTTCTGTTCGCGAGCGACCTCGCATGTTGCTCGCATCAACGCACTTTACACGATTCAACAAGGGAAAATGTATTCTGATTACACAAAAATAATTTTCATGACTGGAGAGCACGTGACATTGGATCGCCAATATGATATTTTTAATTCTTTGTGCGCATCGTTAGGTATCTTGAATGTATTAGTTTCGAATGGATTTTCTTCCTGTGCACGCGCGAATTCGCGAAACGGAGAAACGGGGACGCTCGTTGTCGAGGCACGCGATCGCGACGCGCAGAAATCGCGTTTCGCCCGACAGCCGACAACAGGCTAATGACAATAAGCGTAATCTCGACGTGATTGCTCCGTGTAATTAGCATCATGCACGGCACCGACGCGGCGCGGCGCGACGTTACGGCCATCCTCTATCGTTGCATTATTCATGTCGCGGGCTACACCCTAAATTCGAAGGCTTCCCAAAGGATGTAACCGCCGCCGCCGCCGCCGCCGCCGCCGCCGCCGCCGCCGTCGCCGGTAATTTCACCGTCGAACAGCCCCGCCGCCAGCCATCGCCGTATGAATCACGAAGTAAGGTGCATTATAGAACGCGTCGCCAACGAGGCGAAGTTCTTGCATCCTGAGGGATTGAACGTCCCGAAAATAATACTTAAAATATGTATCATGTTACGCGAAATATTCGCGGGGGAAATCTTTTCCCTTTTTTCCCCCTCTTTCTCTTTCTGCATGAGGACAAGACTCCGAATTGAATATCTTTTTTTCTAATAAAACGCACATACTATGTTTAATTTATCTTTTCTATAACTGTACTGTTTTTACTTTAATTTCAATTGTCCATCTCCTCAAATTGATTTTTTCATTTTTATTCTTATCCTATATAGTATTTATCTTAAATGGCTTCTTATGTATAACTATGCACGCTCTTAGAGAAGGCAAGTCTCTCTCTAATGAGCGATAATAAACGCAATTATCTATCCATCTATCCCTGAACTGCCGCCGGCATCGATTGCAACGATCGTCGCGTCTTCTCTTTTACATGAAAATACACGTCAATTTTCTCTCTATTTCTTGAGATTATTTCCAGATATATCGAGATACGTTCTCTGGCGCGTCTGACTCTCGCGGCCAACTGTCAGCAATGACGATGATGCATCTTCATTTGCGTATTAATTCAATTTGAGCGTCGCACGATTATGACGATGTCGTGGTCATAATACGTCATAATCAGTCACGATGTGTATCGACATGATTCACGTACGTCTGATCACGTTGATACAATCAGAGATTGTCCCGCGACTTCTGTCTTGTTCTGATCAAGAGCTCGCGAAGAATATCGCGGGGATGATCGGCGCGGCCGGATAATCGCGATGATGAAAAGAACGTGGTGCGTCGAACCGAGACGAGGCACAAAAGGAGAGCAGGAGAAAGAAACGGAAAACGGTCTGACAATTCGTAGATCCAAAGTCGAGTTCGACTCATGAATAACGCAGGAGAGCGCATTAGAATATTCCCTACGGTATAACGAATAAGGAGACATAACTCCCATTGTTATTCCTCCGCTTAAAGGGGAGAACTCCGTCTCTCGAACCGCCGCGAAAGAAACCTGAAGACTCGCGCGGAGTCTCTCTCGCCGTGATAAAGGTCTTCTCCTCCGGGAAGAGACGCTCGGCGACTTGTATTCGTCGTTGGCTTGTTAAGAGATCGCGCAATGTCAAAGCAAAAGTCAAGCGACCACCCTCGCTTCCACCCCGTTTTCATTCGTGTTCCGGCGGGAAGAAACGACGTTAGGTCGCGCGCGCGCGCGCGCTTTCACCCCCTCGTAATTAGCGCGGCCGTCGATTGTCGCTCTTCATCGTCGCTGCTCGCTTCCACAATCGAGGCGCTAATTGTGTCCTGCGAATTGCCATTGCAGATATAGCGGCCGGCTCAAAAATCACTTGATGCGCTGAGGATGCGCCGTGATTTCCGCAACGGTGGGCTTGCCTGCGCCGTTGTTGTGTGGGTGTCGTCGACCTGCCTGCTCGTCCTCTCACTGTCATCATCGATCACCACTGCAGGTACGTTTCTCTCCTCCTTTATGCAACACCCGCACGTTTTATCATCCACTCCGCCGCGCTGCGTAACGCCTTTGTTCCGTTCGGAATTGAAGCGCCGAGAATGAAGTGGACACTTCGAATTACGAGGATACGTTTCCCGGTTACTTCGAGTAACCGCTTCCTCTCCGTGTGATTTCCTTGATCGCGCGACGCGCGTGATAACGAGTGGTGTAAACGTGAAAAAGTATGTTTCACACGGATCTTCCTGTACACTGACAATGAATGACTACTCATCAGAGCGACTCGTACCTATTCCCTACAGTTTTTATGAGAAAAACGTGGTAATATTTGTTTTTTTTTTTGTATGGTTCTTAGTTTACCCATCAAAGAGCGCTAAAAAGTTAAAAAATACGTTTCTGTAGGATTTTATATCGAACGATAAGTTTTTAAACGAAAGATCTCGTCAAGTAATATCAATTTTTGTATATTTGTGGTTTATGGTTCATGATATTGAGAGCGTCATAGCTCAATTATTTATATGTAAATGTGTGTATTAATAAATCATTTTGCGTTTACCCAGGGTGCACGAGGAAGTGAATCTAATTGAACTGTCAAGTTTACTTACAGTTTAAATCTACAATTTCAATGTAGTCCGACGTTAGAAAATTGTAAAATATAACTTTGACGTAATTTTTACTATAATATTTCCCCCGTGTGTGTAGCCATTCCATCACTCACGCTCGTGGTAGAAATACACGCTGCTTTTCGGAAAAATATGAGCAGGCGAGAGCGACTAGCGGTCGGAATAAATCAAGCCTAAAATTATGGAAGCCGAAGTGGATCGACCGCTTTTTCCGGTAACGCCGAGCGACCCGTTTATCGAAAGTGGATTGATATTTCTGTCTCCGCATCCCACGCGACGTGAATAAACGGCCGAATGTCAAGCTCCAATAAAATCATTTTCTCTTTATTTATTTCATTTTTTGCACAGCGAGTTCAACACCGCCAGCTCGCTGACGGACGTGCTAGTGCGCAACTGATCTCATTCTTAATTTCTTGAATTAATCCGATATATCACTGGACGCTTCAATTATCGGCGCTGTCCTGCCGTGTCCCCTGCAGTTGATCCGGAGTGGACGGATAGAGCTTCTCTGGGTTAGGACAAAGCATAATGATTCCTGATTGATCGGCATTCTGTCCGCCATTTTTAAGATGTGACGTGAATGGGTGCGAGAGAGGAACTCTAGTGGGAATGAGAGGGAAGCGCTAAGGAAGAATTCACCTTGGTAGAGAAGCAGAAAGGCAGAAGCTAATTCGTGCTAATAGAAAAGCAGGAACTAATCGACTACTGCTTCACCAGTAGCGAGTTCTGATTTACTTCTCCCTTTCTACCAAAGTGTAAATTCTATCTAGGGCCGGTATTCATAGTCGAAACTTATATTTAAGATTGATCCTAAGTTTATCCTGATGGTCCGAAGCCAATAAAACGATTCATCTGAAGAAGAACTTATAAGACGATCTTGAATGTAAAATCTGACTGTAAGTACCGCTCTGAAATCGAGATGATGAAGCACGCTTCTCTCTCACTCACACACTTACATTCTCACCTACAAATGGCGGACAGTGTCCCAGCTTTGACTTGAGGACACCCTGGCTGGGTGCCTCACCGGAATCGGTGATCGCGTCGTTTGTGTTCGACGACGTGTGGTGTGCACCACGTAGAAAGCCGAATAGGTCGAAGGTCCGCTCGCGCGCGAAAAAAGGAAAGCGAACTCTCTCGCAGCGCGGACGTGCATCTGCATATAATGCGCGCCGCTGGACGTGAGCGGATTTCGGAAGCCGGAACGTGTGCGCTGTGATTCGTCCTTGATGTTGCGCGAACCAACCGCGGCACATATGTCCGCGACGTACGTTCCCCGAGGGGAATTTAAGGATTTTGTTCTCGAGGACTCTCTCCCTCTCTCTCTCTCCCCCTCCCTCACTCTCTCTCTCTCTCTCTCTCTCTCTCTCTCTCGATGGAATGAATTTCCTGCTGGCCGACGTCGCGACGGGGCCGAACGCAATTTCTTCCGCCTTGGCGGAGAACGACCCCGCAGAAACGGGCGTTTGCAGGAGAAGCGCCGTGTGTAAAATTAGGTATTACGAGACGCCCGTAAAATCTGAATTCAGCGGGACCCGTTCGCGTAGGTGCTCCGCTAACGAAATTCGCGTTATCCCGTAACGCAGTCCTCACGGTGATCGTAATTCCGTAGGAACGCCGAGAGCTTCGCCTTCGTTATTCGTATTCCGCGTTTGCTGCTTATATAGGCGGCACGTCTATACCCTAATTCCGCGTTCCGTCTCTCCTGGTATAGAAAGAGAGAAATACAGGGCGTCGCGATAGGGTGATAACGTATAAAACTTTCGTGTAGATTAGGTCAAACTACGAACGAGCAAGTTCTCTATCATTTTGTGAATAACCGAGTGTAGATTTTTGAGCTATTAAAAGAGAAGATAAACGAACGATTATGCGTGATTATTCATCGTATCGTAAATGAGAGGTGCAATAAAGAGGATAGATGGAAAGAGAAGAGATAGAGGAATAATGATTGATTTTATTTTGAAGCGAGGCTTCAGGACGCGACTTTCAATCAGACAGTCTCTGTCGCGAAAATCTCCGGTCGTCGAAGAGCCGATATTCAATTGTCTGTGTTATTATATAACGTGAGAAAATATCGGGACTATTTTCCTGCATCGGAACATCGGAATCTGTCCGGAATGATATCGGTTTCAATAGTCTCTCCCTCGATAATCGCGCGTTACGGCTGCCGCGTGCACACGAGTGGCTGATAATGTGCGAATCGTGCGCGTCTCTCTGTTTATCGTTATCGACATGTGCACACGCAACCAGTGACGATACACACGTACGTGTACCGTGCCCGATGCGTATGCACCGACGCTATGCTCTGCACATATATTCTAATCGGCGGATTAAACAGCGCACATAACGAAGCCGGTAATCGCGCCACGAGATTGCCGGTTAGGGACTACGGATTCGATCCGGTAATCGATTCCCGATGTGTTACAGCAGGATACGCGGGATGGACTTTTCAATAGATATCGAGGGCAACCCGATTTGCATGCCACCGGCAATAACAAGTTGAATTTCTCCCGTTAAAAGGCATCCCCGCACCCTTTCCTCCTCATCATTGTGCTCTCACATGCCATTTCTCCTTTTCTCTCTTTCTCTCTCGATTCTTACCTCTTTCTCTTTTTCTTTCTTTGTCTTTCAGTCCCTCTGTTTCTTCCTTTCCTATCTCCTTTAGAGGAGAATTATAACGAGAATACACAGGAAACGGTGGCTCGACGATACGATGCGTTAAATCCCATTTGCGTGCTCATCGAAATTCAGAGAGAGAAAGAGAGAGAGGGAGAGAGAGAGAGAGAGAGAGAGAGAGAGAGAGAGAGAGAGTACGCAAAGCGCTTCAGTATGTTTCCTGTATTGTACGTTATATCGCGATGTGTGTATACATATTTTATGTGCGCAAAAGTATACATAATATTTCGTCAATATTATATAATCAATACGAATTATTATTCATCATAGCTATTATGTATAACAGATATAATTAATATATTATAATGAATTAATTAATTATATATAAAATATACACAGAGAGAAGTTTTTAATAAAAATTTCCATAGAATTTTGTAACTGAGGAACCGACATATTCTCTAGTAATTGATTATCTCTTTATTTCATATACACTATATCTTATATTGGAATTGAAATTTGACATGTGTCATTAAAAAATTTGTCACATTTTTAGTGAAACGGCAAAATTCTAACGAAATTCGCTATCCTTAACAAGATAAATTTCACCGAATGTATTTTTCTGCACTACATTGAAAGAAAAAATATCTAAAAAATGAAAGAAAATGTATTTGATGGGTACTGAGAAGACATTTACTTACATTTTAATTTTTTTATTTAAATGAAACGAACAATTGCTTTTTCATGAAGAGCTAAGGCTTTAAGAAAATGTATGCTCTCTCACTTGAAAAATATTTTATGCTGAAAGAAAGAATATCTAAAAAATGAAAGAAAGTGTATTTGATGGGTACTGAGAACACATTTACTTACATTTTAATTGTTTTATTTAAATGAAACGAACAATTGCTTTTTCATGAAGAGCTGAGGCTTTAAGAAAATGTATGCTCTCTCACTTGAAAAATATTTTATGCTGAAAGAAAGAATATCTAAAAAATGAAAGAAAGTGTATTTGATGGGTACTGAGAACACATTTATTTACATTTTAATTGTTTTATTTAAATAAAACGAACAATTGCTTTTTTATGAAAAGCTGAGGTTTTAAGGAAATGTATGCTCTCTCACTTGAAAAATATTTTATGCTGAAGTTGAAAACTTTGCCGACAGAATACTGACATTTTTCTGCAAAGTTTACATCGTACATTGGTTGTACAAAATTACAAATGCTCGTACGCAATAAAGGTACGTGCAAAAATAAATAAAAGCATTGCACATGTGACTCAACATGTGACGAAAACGAAAAAGAAATTTTAGATGTAAAATCTCAAGCTGTCAGTTAACGTAATATTTGCCTGATTTAAAAGTTCCGCGGCTTGTGTACCGAAAGTGTATGGATGCTCCAAACTGAAAAATTTTCAAGAACTTTGCTGCACGTTCGCATCTGAATTCAGAAGCTTAAGAATATCGGAAAAGTTTGCAGAAAATTTTCTACACATGCATGATTAGATTTTCTGCTGAATATGGTAAAATAAAACAACAAACGTAAGATCCACTTGTACGTAAAAAATACGAAAAAGATGGCGTGATTATGATGGCATAATGTTATCGACATTGTCGATTTCAGCATCTTTTTAACACACAAATAAATATGTTATCGTTTATCTACCGAAGAAATATATTTTATTTCTTAAATAAATTTTTTCTCTGTAGAAAAGTTGGTAAAAAAACTATTGAAAAAGAATTATTTAGAAAGAAAAGGAAAGGCTACAGCATTTCCCCCATGTGCGCGCACAATTCGTGGTATCCCAGCGCGAATCCTGTCGCAAATTCGCAATCCGATCGGGTTGGAATAAATAAGCGCGAGAATCCGCGCGAGAGCCGAGCCGAAAATTCGAGTAATCGGACGCGCGCTTGAGTTTCACTGGACTTTTATGAAATTCGCTAACGACGTGAAAACGCGACGCGACGCGGCAAACGACCGATTGACACGCGACGCGCGCCCGCTACTCGTTAGTGCATCGCGCTCTCCGGATACTTTCGCCGAGGGGCACCTAAATGGGATATCCGCTCGAGCGGATTTTCTTTTCGTGTCCGGCTGAGCACTTTCTTCCTCTTTGTCACACGCGAGCGCGTGCACCAGCGGCGTCGCCCCGGTATTAATATGTGCCATGTAACGGGACGCGGCGCGAACTCGCGTAGTCATGCATAAATTTACATAACAGCCGAACTCCTAGTTGCAGGGAGAAAATTACGAGCCAGTTACCGGAAGAATTACGCCTCGCGATCTCTTTCGTGTGAAAAATTCAAGGAGGAAATAAATGTTTCCCTCTGATGCGTGACAGCACGCTCGTCAGCTTTGCCCCCGAGAGTTTCATTCTGCAGCACGGAGAGCACCGCTTCGCTCGATCGTCGCGCGATACGATTTTACGCAGCGTGACACGACTCCTTTCGCACATTTCACTTCGCGCGCGCATCGATAAATTCGATATCGCCCAGAAGTTTAGCGCGAAGGGACATTTCTTCCTTCTCCGGAATTCTCTGGAAATTCTCCGGCCGTGTCTCCGATCGTCTTGAAGCGACGAAAAACACCGATCGATCGTCACATCTCCGACGCGATCTCGTCTTCGTAATTTCCACCAATTCGTTTTTCCCGTCGAGGGAAACGCGCGTTCTCGCCCGTTCATCCCATTTTGGCGCGCGTGCTTTGCTCCGTGCTCGAGGCATTCGTGGCACCGTGGCACCGCCTGGAAACGCGCTCATAGCACGTTAGGTAAGTATAGTAAGTGTGGCAGTAGGATGCCGAGGAACCGTTAGGTCGACTCCGGCTATTTTTATTATTATTATCATCCTCGTCGTCGTGGTCGTATTCGCCGCGGTCGCCGTCATGCTACACTTTAGCCCGAGAGCGTGGTTAAAAACGCCACCTCGGCTATGCGAGAAAGCACCTTATTTTTCAATGACCTATTAAGCGCTCCTCGCGACTCATTAATCCACGCGTCGCCGTCTAAGTGACGCGACGTCGACGTAACTAGCTCTTCGCGATTATGCGCCGAGACTCGGGAATGAGGCGAGCGCGCAATTGCCGTATTGACGATTAGACGCGGAAAATGGAGTCTGTACAAAATTAATGAACGTGCTGACTATCGAGCTGACTAATTGTTCTTTTATGTAAGTATCTCGTGTCGCATGTTAGCATGAGATACTTGCCACATGCGACAATTCATCACTTAAAAATGAAACTGGAGAATCGCATGAGTTCATTTCGTTCTTGCATTTAGAACTTGTCGCTACCAAAGCCGAGTTCTGTCTACGCGGATTTATGAATAGATGTGTAATCGAATGTACGGGCGGTACGAGTGACATCTTCCCCTCTCCCCTCCCTCCCTGTTCCTCGGATTTATTTTTTCAAAAAATATTTGCACACGAAATGCTTTGCGGTACACATTAATCCATTATGCATACTCGCCATCCTCAATAGTTTCTGTTTAAGGACAACTTATTGCTTCCTTTTTTGTGCAGGTGCTCGCGAAAAGAATCTTTATTCCGCACTCAGTATTCGCATTCGCAATTCCGTCTGATATTTTCGAAGCAAGCAAAATATCAAAGGTCGTGGCGTGTTTCGCCCTTATAGCGCGCGAAACAGGGAAAGTTAGCATTCCAACTTTGAAATTTGACAGTTCTGATTAGAGTTTTAGTTTCCTCTTGAAGAATGCAGAAGTACTTATAAAAGGAGTTTAAGGGGATGTCATACTTGAGAACTTTGATAAAATACCGACCTTCTTCTCTGCAGAGTTTACGTTGTATTGATGATACAGAATTACAAATGCTTTTCTGTAATAAAGATATGTACAATAATGAATTGGAGCTTTGCTCAATATGTGACTCGTTAGATGTTTAAAGAAATAGCCGAGCCGATTGCTGCTCATTTTATTCGTAAGAATGAACAATCTTCTTTATTTTATTCGACGAACAAGACGAATTTTTTGCATCAACTCAATACAATTATATTTACAACTGACGTGACATTACATTCCCAAGTGTCTCGTCGCTTCTCACATCGCTGCGACTTGCATGCTTACAGAGCCGTCACTGCGGTCCGTCGGTCGATGTCCCTCCTTCGTCGAGCAGAACGTATGTCCGTCCAGGTCGCCAGGCTGCGAGAATGACTTCCAGTGCCAAAGTGCGGAGGAACGCTGCTGCGAGACCGCGTGCGGTCTCCGCTGCGTCGTCGGCGAGCTGAGCGGCTGTGAGCAATTGGCGTTGGCGGCCGTGAGACGGTCACGAGGACCTGCAACGTCCCGCAGACCACCGCAATTCGTGCCCCGATGCAGCAACGAGACCGGCGAGTTTGAGAGGGTGCAGTGCGAGCCGGAGGGACGCAATTGCTGGTGCGTCAACGAGCTCGGCATCGAGGTCCCCGGCACCAGGGCGCCGAGCAAGGAAGTCGTCGACTGCGACAAGCCGCGTGCCTGTCCAGCTCACAGCTGCCGTATGTTCTGCCCCTTGGGATTCGAGGTATTTGAAAACTCGGGCGAGTGTACCTTCACCGAGCGGCTTCATCTTCCATTCACTTCTATTCTGTTCCGGAAGAAAAGCAATGTTGACTCTGAGTAAATTACCTCTTGGGTTGTGGAAGATATTGGCCGAAGCTGGAAGCTGTACACGGAAGCAATATTGCAGTAAAAATTACAAGAAAATCTTTGCAATCTTGAACCATGCAGAGAAATTACTGTATATTTCTTTAAAAATGTTACGCACGTTTGACTCTTTTGCCTACCAAATTATCATAATTGAGTGTTTTCTTTTGTATCGATGAATCGTTTTATTTTGTCAAAAACTTATTTTATTTCTATAGTAATTTATAATACAATTTCTGCACGGTCTAGCGTTACGAAAAACATTACGAAAGAAATACGATTTTAACATAATTTTTACTAGAATATTTTTACTCGACACGCCGTTTATCTTTATAAGATCAGACTTTTTATTGTTCGACGTTTACGGTACTCTAGTATTCGACACGATACTTTCCGCACCAAGCCGCAAGCGGTCACGCGCGAATTCTGTCGCGACACGAGGCGCGTTCACCCATCATTATCGTTGTTGCAGATCAACGAGAGCACAGGTTGTCCCAAGTGCGAATGCCGCGATCCTTGTCGCGGCGTCACCTGCCCAGGTGTAGGTCAGACGTGCGAGCTTATCGACGTGAGCTGCGCGCGACCTCCGTGTCCTCCTGTACCCAGCTGTCGTAAGGCGAAGTCCCTGTTGACGATCTGTCCGGTGGGTGAGCCGCTGCAAATCACGGACTCGCCGCGACCGTTCCTCTGCGGCGACAGACCCGGCAAACCGACCTGCCCGCCGATGTACAGCTGCCTGGTGGAGCCCCAGCAAGAATACGGGGTGTGTTGTCCGTCGAATGTGCGGCTGCAACGGGTCGGTGAGTGTCCCGTGGACGATCTGACGACGACGACGGAGTGTGGATCCACTTGTCGCTACGATCTGGAGTGCCCCAGTCCGCAAAAGTGCTGCAACAACGAACGCTGCGGCGGTAACGTGTGCGTGGTACCACGCGGTCTCAGCGTGTGCAATCGGGACCGCGTGCTCGCGGAGATGCTCAGCGTCTCCGAGCGTCAGGGTCGCGGTTACGTTCCTCAGTGCACGGAAGGTGAGTGAGATGCCAAGAAACTCGTAACTGAGCTTGTGTTCGCGTAGCATTTGAACTCTAGTTCTAATACTAAATTTATCTCTAATTTTAATCAAATTAACGTAATTTAATTTTATGTCGCTCTGCTCGTTTAAGCTTACTCGTAATCGAGCTTCTGATATAACGTTTTTGACTCGTTTGTTGACTCGTTTAATTGAGTTACTTAAATGAGAACAAGATTATAAATACGAATTAATTTGAGTAGATGGAAATTACGAGACAAGGCAGTGCTCGAGGAATGGTCTAGTTTGCTGGTGCGTGGACGACAGAGGTAGAAAGATATCCGGTTCAATGGGTCCCGCGGAGAAGATCGACTGCAAATCGATAATCAAGGCGCGCTCTCTTCCAGCGTCTTGCACGCCTCAGCAGTGCGCCCAAGTCTGCCAATACGGCTTCAAAACGGATGTTTCCGGTTGCCCAACTTGCGAATGCGACGACCCGTGCGAGGGGTACGTATCGTAGCACGACAATATCGCTACCTTTAAAAAGTAAAAGACATAACATGAAACGGAATTGATGCTGATATTTCATTTTCTTTGTGTCACTCTTCAGTATGAGTTCTTTCTAAATTAAAGAAATACGTTCGAAAACATTTTCTTTCGCATACGAGCGACTTGTAATTACAATTATTAATTTCACATTAATATTATTGATTAAATAAAAAATAAAATGAATTGACCCTTATTTAATTAAACCACCATTTTTGTAGATTTCCTTGCCCGGAAGGACAAGAATGTATATTGAAACGCGAGGATGGCTGTCCTGATTTTCTCTGTCCGACAAAACCGGAATGTAAACCCAAGAAAACTTACAAAAGCCCCTGCCTACCCAGTACACCGCTAATTGATCAGAACGGGAATGCTGCGACTTGTGCCTCGAACGAAACTTGTCCCGACGGCTACAAGTGCACGATGGTGCCAGAGGCCGGTCAATCTGTGTGCTGCATGGAAACATCAAGCCCTACAAAAGCACCTACTAGTAAGAGACTTAACGTCATAATAATTATATACTAACTAAGTGCTAATAATGGTTAAGTAGCTAAAGTTACCAGTGTTATCGTTAGCAAAGTAAAGTCAATTATAAGTTAATAACTTGATTGTTTATTCAATTAGGCTTGGAGATTCTCATCAATAATAATTCTGCAAATTTACACAGTGTGCGAGTACTTGCGGGACTTCAACGATCGTATGGAGGGCACGAGAGAAGGTATGTTTTTGGCCATCCCGGCACCTCAGTGCGAGTCGGATGGTAGTTATCAGGCTCTGCAGTGTCACAATAACAGCTGCAGTTGCGTGAACCATCGCGGCGTGATGCTGAAGACCGGATTGGATCCCTCCACTGCTGACTGCAGCAGCACCGTGAAGGAGCTCGCGAGAACCTGCCAACGCTTGTACTGCAACCTAATCTGTCCGTACGGATATGAGCTGGACGCAGCCGGCTGCGAGCAATGCCGTTGCCACGAACCGTGCCGCGACGTCACTTGTGGTCCTCACGAGGCTTGCACGATGATCGACGTCAACTGCGGTCAAGATCAGTACTGTCCCGCTGTACCTGCCTGCCTAACCACCAAACCGGGCCAATGTCCGTACTTAGTACCGAGCTCGTCGAGCTGCGAGCTGCAGTGCAGCAACGATCAGGAGTGTCCATCCGGCGACAAGTGTTGTTCGACCGGTTGCGGCACGCAATGTGTATCACCGGTGATGGCCACAGCATGTCAGCACGCTCGCGCGGTTGCCGAGCACGCAGCTCGCGAGTCCGGCGAGCCCGCTCGCAGGATCTACATACCCAGATGCGACGTGAACGGCGCGTTTGAGCCAGTACAGTGTCACAATGGCGTATGCTGGTGCGTAGACGAAGAGGGCAAGGAAGCGGCTGGTACACGAGTCCTCGAAGGCATCGTGCCACGTTGTAACACACCTCTCAGGTGCCCAGAGATCAACTGCAAGTTAGACTGCGCGGATGGCTACGAGCCGGATCCAAATACCGGTTGTCCGACGTGTTCGTGTCGAGATCCGTGCCGAAGTGTAACTTGTCGCGGCGAAAACGAGGCGTGCAGGATGGTGGAAGTGGCGTGCAGTGCACCTCCGTGTCCACCTGTACCGGTTTGCCTACCGAAGAAAGATAATCCGTGTCCAAACGGCTCTCCGTTGCTCGACTCGGACGGTACTGTGGCCACTTGCGGCCCTCATGGCCATCATTGCCCATCCACGCACAAGTGCGAGTTGTCGCCATTGGACGAGTACGCAGTCTGTTGTCCCAAGCCACGCGACGTGTGCTTTGAGCCACCCAAACGGGTACCCTGCAATCCGAACGCGTCCGGCTTCAACGAGACTGAGAGATGGTACTTTGATCCGGAGCGCAACGAGTGTCGACGTAAACACGAGTGCACCCTTGGCCACAACGACTTTGCCAGCCGATTGGTGTGCGACACCGTGTGTCCCGTGTTGTCGCAATGCGAGAGACTGCGCGAGAAGAACTTGAAAAGGTCGCAGAGATTGAAACGACCCACGTTCCTGCCTAAGTGCAATCCAGACAGTGGCACATGGGAGCCGGTGCAGTGTCTGGAGCACGTCGGAGTCTGCTGGTGTGTCAATCGGAAAGGTCAGCCTGTGAAGGGTTCGCTTACTAGGGGAGAGGAGCCCAAGTGCAATTTCCGGCAAGCTAGACGGGGTAGTCGGGGACAGCAGTCGCAAGAGATCGACCGGGAGATTCAAGCGATCATGGAGGACGCTTTGCTGAATTTAGAGACGACGGACGAGAGGCAAACGGAAAGGCTCATGGGCACCAGATGTCAGGCGATGAAGGAAAAGGGTCATGTGCCGGCGATATGCGACCCGCAGGGTAGATTCGAGCCCATGCAGTGCGCCGGTGATACTTGCTGGTGCGTCGACGAAGCGGGCAATCAGCTCATTGGATCGGAACCGTTCTTGAAGGGAACGAGCATCTGTCGTAAGTCACCGAGCACTTCTTTAAGATACTTAAAATATCTAATAATCTTTAATCTATTTCTATATCATATTTAATAATTTTTAATATATTCAAATTTACTATATAAATTAATTTCAACTAGTTTTTAATAATTTATATTTCAATTAAAATTATAATTTGATTAAAGCGACTCCGTTATATTAAGTAGTAAACTAGTAAAGTAATTTGCAAGCAACTATATGCTAGTTTCGTTTTATTTCAGTACCAACGCCGGTTGAGGCGGTAGAGGTGACACTACGTTTCCCCGGTCGATTTCTCGCTACTGACAAAGCGCGATTTGTGAAGGAAGCCGAGAACTTTTTACAGGAGCTCGGAGCGAGGCTGAAAAAAGATGTGCGGGTGGAGATCAATCAGGACTCAGCGATCTTGAGCTTCGAGATCGTCGGCGCAAACAAGGTGGATGTGGCGTTCCATTTGGAGGAACTCACGCGGATCCAAAAGCTTTCCATGCTGGGCTCGTCCGCGGATGCGACCACGTCGCGCTTCACGCATCGCTCTGCTCCTGTTACGATGCACGGCAGAATTGTTGCATTGGAGCAGCGCGAGATTCTCACCCAAGTGGAAACGCCGGTCTATCAAACGGCGACGGTTGTGCTTGCGGCAGGAAGCGCCTTCGTAATCAGCAGTCTCGTCATTCTGTTGATGTTGTATCGCAAAAAGGTACATAGGGATTCGCAACGACCGTCATAAAGTTATCGTGACAATGGGAACTTATTCCTGGCGTCTGTACTTCGCGTTTAACATTAAATATAGCACATTCTGTGGAAATATTTCGTAACGTTAGTGACATTTGTATTTAAAGCAAATCGCCGCAAATTACAGCAGCATCGGTCTTATATGTGATTGATCAAAAGAATTCGTGAGATTGTATAAACGGAATTGGAAATTAAATAATCGTATTTAGCTATGAATATCAACGTAAATTGTAGAACATAGTCGGCATCAAAATAAAGAAGTCCATGTTGCAGATGAAAATGAAGGATCATATGAAAGCGCTTCCGATGGATCAACATTTCCTCGCCTACAGCCAACAGCCGGTTTACGTAATATCGGGATCGGAGCAGGACGAGAAGGAAAAAGAGGCTGCCGCGCATATGATTGAGGACATTCATACTACGGACACCATCGTAGGAGCATAAGCGATTCGACACTTCTCACTTGGGTCAACGTCTCCGTCTTGTACGGTAGTGATTCGCAAAGCCTGGCTCATCGGAAGCGCATAAAATCTACGATTCGCTGACAGGCATCCATCGATATATAACGTATATGGCTACATAACGATATATAACGTATATGGCTACACAGGGACGTCGGTCGATACCCTTCGAAGCATGTTACGTTCAGCCAACGCTTCCGGAGGCTGATGAGCGCGCGTCAATCACGATTAATTCTCGGTCCGCCGAACTTTTGAGTCTACAAAAGACCCCTCTCTGTCTCTGCGATTTATTTTCTACAGCGCGTCCGATGAATCCTACAACCAGCGATTAAGACGATTCCTTGTAAGGAAATAAGTAAAAACTTACGTTAAAAAAGTATTTGATATTTATGATTTTTAAGTACGAATATTTAAATTTTTAACATACAATATATATATATACAGGGTGTTCAAAAAGTCCCGGACCGGTGAAATATCTCGAAAACTAAGCATTTTAGAAAAAAATGTTTCAGATAAAAGTTGTGGCGTTTAAAAAGATGTATTTACTGATCACATCAGTTTGACCTTGG